CTTCCCCATGTATTTCCCTCCAGTGATCTGTCTTAGCTTTCCTGAGCAAGATTTGCTATTCAGCACCTGAGTAAATTTTGTTTCCATGAGTTGGTCCAGTCCCTTCTGAAAGTCGCTGCAGCTCCCTCGGTGGGACCAGCATCTCCTTCTGCTCTTCCCACAACCCTCCCCAAAACACATCACAGTGTGGGGGATAACCTGCAGAGGGGAGATATGTGCAGCTCATATTGGACAATCTCATCCTTCCATACCCAAAATCTGATGCATGTCCTGATGAGAAAACCTTAATGTTATTAAAACACTGTTTCTAATTAAGCTCTTGGAAAATTCTTCCGGTGAAATTCTTCTTCAGGGATTGAGCACCTGGTGCCAAGACCAGGAAGGGATGGGCTAGGCACCAACCAATCCCACCTGGACATCTGTGATCCTGCCAGTTCCACAACTGCAGCAACACCTTGCTGCTGCCAGAGGGGCAGCTGTGTCCGATGCCTACGCTCTGTAACTCCCACCACAGGCACACATCACATGGAGGTCCCTCTCCTCACTCCAACACTACCCATTGGGCTGCAGAGCATGGGCGAGCACCACGTGCCAGCTCTCCTGCTGCAGCACGTGCCATCGAGCTCTGACCTGCTTAGCTGGGGAGATAATCCTCAAGCGAGACAGAAAATCCAGCCCAAGCCTCCTCTGCAAACAAGATGCAGCAATATCTCTGTTCCTGCTGTCTTGTGACTCAGGAGCTTCCCAAGAGTGAAGGTGTGCTCAGAGGGGCTCCAGTTGCCAGCTCCTGGCCAAGCCTCTGAGATTTCTACTCAGGAATGTCATATTCTACTCAGGAATGACATATCCTAATAGAGGAACATCATCCAGCCTGGGGCACCTCCTCCTCTGGGTGCTAAGGGCTCCCACCCTCCTAGGAGGTAAGGAGATCAAACGCTTTGCACCTATGAATCTCTGCTGCATCATCTCTAGTAACACCTCAGAGGCAGGAAAGCCACTCACTGCTGCTTACAGGCAGGGAAATGGAAGCTGCTGGCACAAGTGACTTATGCAAGCATGAGGTAGTGCCACAGCTAGATGATCCTTGCCCATGTGGTCCCACCTGCCCTTCTCCACCTAGTCATGGGTGGCAGCCAGTGAGGACCTGCAGCATGAGGGATGCCATGCAAAGTGGTGCTGCCCTTGGAGGATGACCTATGGGCTACCTAGTCCTTAGTGGCAGAAGCCAAAATCTCGAGCCACTGAGCCTTCTGTTAATGGTAGAAGCACACCTGCATCATCACCTCTGCAGTAATGTCCATGAAGCCAGGGAGATTGTGAGGTGAAAAGGCAGAGTCTGTAACACTGAGGGGAAATCGGGTAGCCCCAAGACCAACCCTCTCATGAGTGATGCCTTACAAAGCTCTGGAGAGGACTATGTCAGCAGCCCACGATCAAGGATGCTCTGAGCCGCCAGCTAAGGGCAGCGGGGAGCTAGCCCACTGCAGAAACAAAGGTGAGAGACAGACGAGGAAGAGAGCAGCTGAAAAGCAGCAGGGACCTCCCACACTGTTGAGATAAGAGACAGAAAGGTCAAGAGACTCCCTGGGGGCTCCAGTAAGAGATGGATCCTCCATGGCTGAGCAACAAAGCCAGAGGGGCGGGACAGCTGGCACCAGAGAAAGCGGGAGGAGGGATGCGGGATGGAGGACACAAGGAACAAAGGGGAAGAGAGAGCCCGCTTAGGCTGGGAAGCGGTGGCTCTGTGAGCTACCCAACTCCTGAAGCCATCCCAGATCTCAGCACTGACCACTGTCCTGATCCTTCCTGGAGCAGCTGACACCACACACTGCCTGGCAGGGTGTCCCTGTGACAATGCCACCGCTGTCCCTACACCCTGGAGTGGGGGCTGCGCCAGGCTCACACACTGGGTAGCCTTTCAGGCCTGCTGCCCACCCTGTCCTGGCCATTGCCTGCGTGCCTTCAGACAGGAGGGTGCATTGTCATGGCCAGTGATGCCTCCAGGGAGAAGGATGGAGAGCAAGTGCTGGTGATGCTGTAAAGGAATAGCCAGTGTGGCAGGACTGAACAGGGCCAGAAATGTGTGGCAAGGTCAGCACAGGAGCAGAGAGGCAACCCACTCTCAGCCACATGTCTCACCAAAACTCACTTTGAAAGCTCACAGAAAGCTCAGGCTTTTAATGCAACTGATGAACAGCACTGCAGGGCCAGGCTCCTGCACACAGGTGTGGAATCACAGCCAACAGACTTCTGAGACTCAAGGGAAATGGAAAGGAGGAAGACAGAATCTAATATTTCAGAACTGCAAGTGATTCTCACCTTCTTATTTTCTGTACCAATCCTGATACAAGGGTTTGGGCTAGCCCACAGCCTTTGCTGGGTACAAGGAAAAGCTGCTTGTGGTCATCTTCTGAACACAAGCAAATGAGGCAATCCCTCCTGACACGCAGCAACACACCAAATTCCTGATAGGTCTCATTGTGCACCAGGACTTGCAGATGCGACCCCCTTGTCATGGAAGAGGATGACCCCAAACTGCCCTCAAGCTGTGGACTGTGCCAGCTGCCCCTGCCCTGAAGCCAAGGCGAGGACCAGGGCTCACAACCGCAGCAGCAGCAGCATCCACACAATCGCAGAGGGTCGGAGCCCGCATGATGTGCAGTGATGCACAGCGGCAGCAGCTCAGCTCAGCCTTCAAGGAAACCCTCCTCTTGGAGGGTTGCTAAGCAGCCAGAAAGGGATGTGGCCACAGGAACTGGAGGAGATGTACTTTCCCTTCTGCGGGCATCGGTCCCAAGAGCTGACAGCAGCTTGGACAACGCAGCCAAGCAGATGAGCTCGGAGCCCTACAGCACGGCCCCAGCAAGACCTGCTTCAGATCAGCTGCTCCAGGGGCAGCCCGAGTCCTTGGCTGGCATGAGCTGCTGGAGTCAGGAGGAGGGAGAAGACCGTCAGGTCTGGTTTTATTAACACTGCATCAAATCAGCTCCTTGGCTGGACCAGCAGCATGAGGCAGAGGAGGGTCTCTGAACTCCTGCTGGCAGGAGCCAGGCAGCTGCTCCCTGGTTGGGTGCTGCAGATCTGACACAAGGAGCCAAAAGGGAATATCCTCATCTGCTTGAGAGGAGGAGAGTGGCAATGGGCTGTGGGTGCCCAATACTACATACTCCCCACAAATCAACCATGGTGCAAAGCCTTCCAGGACCAACCATGTGAAAACAGTAGCCTCTGGCTGCTTTTAACATCTGCCAAACCCTGCTATCATCACCTCCAGGGTGAATGATAGCTAAAAAAATAAGCCTGATGTTTTTCCTCCCCACCCCATACCCCTGTCCATGCCTGGGAGCACCAGCCCACAGTGCACAGGAGAGGCTGCCCTTACCTCTGGGCATCAGGTTGGGAAATGGCATTGACAACAGCCTCCACTGCTGTGTCGAAGAGCTCCGGGTCCTGCAGGGAGGTGAAAGCTGCCTGAATCAGGTTCTCACAGTCCATCAATGGGATCTCCAGCTGCACCCAGCTGGAGAAGCACTTCAACACCTTCTGCTTGATGAAACCAGGGGAGTCCTGCTGCT